TTCTCCAAGATCGATTTAGCTTCAGGATATCACCAAATTCCCATTAGTGAAGATGACATCATAAAGACAGCTTTTAGAACAAGATATGGGCAGTATGAGTTCGTAGTGATGCCGTTCGGACTCACCAATGCCCCAGCGGCATTCATGCGACTCATGAACGAGGTATTTCATGATTACCTCGATGCCTTTGTCATTATTTTCATAGATGATATTCTCATCTATTCTCGAAGTAAAGAAGAACACAGAGAACACCTCCGAAAGGTGTTGGAACGTTTAAGAAGTCATCGATTATTTGCTAAGTTTAGTAAATGTCGATTTTGGGAGCAAGAGATAGGATTTCTTGGACACCGAGTATCCGCTCAAGGAGTGTCCGTTGATCCAGAAAAGATTAGTGTAATTCAAGACTGGCCGCAACCTACTACTGCTACAGAAATAAGAAGCTTCCTTGGCCTAGCAGGCTATTATCGGAAATTTGTTCGAGGATTTTCTTCCATTTCTAAGCCCTTGACACGATTGACCGGTAAAGGAATTCCATTTATTTGGAACGAAGATACGGCGAAAGCATTTACTAAATTAAAGGAAGCCTTGACCACGGCACCAGTTTTGGCTTTGCCCGAACCAGGACAACCCTATACCGTGTATACCGATGCCTCTCGCATAGGCTTAGGATGTGTATTGATGCAAGGAAAGAAAGTCATAGCATATGCATAAAGACAACTCAGGAAGCACGAAGAGAACTATCCTACTCATGACCTTGAAATGGCTGCCGTAGTGTTTGCACTCAAGATATGGAGATCATACCTATACGGAGAAACTATCGAAGTATTTACGGATCATAAAAGCCTCAAATACTTATTTACTCAACCCGACTTAAATCTACGACAAAGACGATGGATGGAGTTCATTGCCGACTACGACCTAAAGATTCAATATCACCCGGGAAAGGCGAACGTTGTAGCAGATGCTTTAAGTCGTAGGAAGCTGGAGATAGACGCCGAAAAAGACCTTGAAGTTTTGAACCAAGAATTGAAAAATGTTAGTCTAGCTGCCATAGATGGAGAACCTAGCGAACCATTAGGAATGCAAGCCGTACGTCAAGCCGGCCTACTTCAACGAATCAAAAAAGAACAAGGAAAGGATGTGAATCTCAAGAAAATTACAGAGGAAGTTAAGAACCAAGGAGGAAGAAATGCTAGTGGATACCACTTAGCCGATGATGGAACCATACTACTTAATGGGAGGATCACAGTACCCGACCGAGAGGGTTTAAGAGACGAAATTCTTGAGTTGGCACATCATACCCGATTTAGTATTCACCCTGGAAGCGTAAAGATGTATAAAGATTTAAAGAGATATTACCATTGGCCCGGAATGAAGCGAGCAGTAGGAAAATGGGTATCTCAATGTCAGACATGCCAGCAAGTTAAAACAGAACATCAAGTGCCAGCCGGACTATTAAGGAATCTACCTATTCCGGTATGGAAGTGGGAATCTATTGCCATGGATTTTGTTGTAGGGATGCCACCGTCAAAGGGAAATTATGATGCGATTTGGGTAATCGTAGACCGCTTAACCAAAGTTGCTCATTTATTACCCGTCAATCATGAAGATGGATCGGAGAGATTGGCAGAGCAATACGTAAACAAGATTGTACCTCTCCATGGCGTACCTGCAAACATTGTATCAGATCGTGACCCGAGATTCTCAGCTTCTTTTTGGAAAGAGTTTCAACAAGCCTTAGGAACCAACGTATTCATGAGTACCGCTTATCACCCAGAGACGGATGGCCAAACCGAACGGACCATTCGTACCATTGAAGATATGCTCCGAATGTGTGTTCTCGACTGGGGAAAAGGATGGAAACCCCATTTACCCTTAGTCGAGTTTTCGTACAACAACAGTTACCATGCAAGCATTGGCATGGCCCCATTTGAAGCTCTTTACGGAAGACCATGTCGAACACCATTATGTTGGACAGAGGTTTGGCGAGAAGAAGGAATTCAGAACGACATAATTGAAGAAACTATGGAGAAGGTTAAAATGATTCAGGAAAATATGAAGAAAGCGCAAGATCGTCAAAAGAAGTACGCCGATCAAAAGAGACGAGAAGTAGAATTCACAGTAGGAGACATGGTCTACCTTAAAGTTGTAGCTATTAAAGGAAAAGGAAAGGATTGTTTTGGGAAGACCGACAAACTTGGGAAACGGTATGAGGGACCGTTCCCTATCATCGCAAGAGTTGGCGAAGTCGCTTACCGTTTAGCTTTACCTAAGACCATGGGCATTCACCCTGTGTTCCATGTGTCTATGCTACGGAAGCATATTCCAGACCCTCGCAAGAGAGAGAATCCACCAAGGATTGAGGAGCCCCAAGAAGATATCGTATACCCACAAGGACCGTTAAGAATTGGAGCCAGACGTATAAGGAAACTTCGAAACAAGAAAATTCCCCAAATCCAAGTAACATGGGGAAAACAACACCGCGAAGAAGAAACATGGGAAGATGAGGCTGCTTTCCGAAAGAAACATCCGGAGTTTTTCATGGAGGAGGGGAACGATGATGGAGCAGGACCATCAGAACTATTTAGAATTCGGGACGAATTCTAATAAGGAGGGGAGAATGTAATACTCCTCACCCGGATTATGTACAGAAGATCATGCAGTATGGTAACGTTCGATCCAACCTTAGTACCTTCCATTGGTAAGGCTATCTAGTAAAGTGTTAGCAGCTTGGGTCAAGTTTCCAAGAGTGTTTAGTGACTTAGGCATATTTGGTTAGGAAAAATTAGATTTTGTCCGTTAGATTTATAATCGGTGCGATAAGGATCGTTTAGGTATGTTCGGTGGTCGGAAAATCTCTCGGTACGGCCGTGTACCGTGTGCGAATGGAACGGACGGCCAAGGAGTGGCCAAGTAAGCTGCTTAAAGGGTTAAGCCGCCTTACTGTTTGGATAAGGACGACCTCTCAGTCGTGTGCGACCGTGATTGGTCCGTCCGTCCGTGCTTATCCATTCGTTGAGCTTATCCGATCGTTGTTCTTATCCTTATCCGTTAGTGAAGCTTATCCATTTCCAAATCCGAACCTATAAATACCCCCCCCTTCGTCCATCACTCTTCACTTCCACTCCAAAACCACCAAAAAGTTCCTTGCTTGCACTAGGAGCTCTCGGAGAGACCTTCAGCCGCCGATCGAGTTTCTGTGAGTTCCGGTCGTGTGTGGTAGCACGCGACTAGGTTTATTTAATTGTTTAAGTTATTATTTAATATTCATTTAGTAGTTATTTAAATAATTTATTTATTTAAATATTATTTTAGTATGAGGTTAAGTTTTCTTACTTAACCTAATTCCAAGTGATATCTTTGTGATGATTACTTGTTGGTGTGTGATGATATTGGTTATGCTTATGCATTGTGTGGGTTGAATAATTAGTAATAGCGGGGTCGTGCTATCCTCGTCGTATATGGTACGTTAAGTAACGTGATCATATACGAGGCTCGGGGCCGGGTCGCGACGGACCGAGCGACTACATGACGATGTAGATTTAAGGAATGACAGATCTTCTATAGACTCAGTGTCTAGAAGTGTAGGGCATTGCCTTGAGGATATCATTGATCGGTAGAGAAGGCCTTACAAGGGATAGTGGATACATTCATATTAGCGTTATTCGTAACATTTTATCGATTGTGGCCGTAGTGCCGTCTTGTGCTCATGAATATTATATTGCTTGTGATTGGGGAAATTGGGGTTGGGTTTACTAATGGTAGAGATCCCGGACTCACTGAGTAATGCTAGATTACTCATGATACTACCATATTTGTTTTGCAGGTAACCAGTAGAGGGTTGTTGTAGAGGGAAAGATGGACGCTAGGAAAGCCAGTGTAGGTTTACTGCCTTTTTGTAAAATTATGTTTTCAAGTATAAGTACATAGCCTTTGGAGATTAGCTCCCGGCCGAATAAAACATGTAAGATTTGGTAATGTGTTTTGAACCGTATGTGGTATATATTATGTATAATAAGGATGTTTTATATATCGCGGTTGGCTCTTAATGATTATGGTCTAGTCCGGGCCGTCCAAACATTCGCTCACGGTAAGGGTTGGCAAGCCTGGATCCGTGTTCGAGTGGGATGACCTCGTGGTACGGTCGACTAAGGTGACCGAATTCGTTTCGAGAACCTCGGTTGACTGTCCGCGTGAGTTATCAC